GGTCAGGTGATCAGAAAAAAATATCAACAGTGATAAGTCATATGATATGATGATAATGGTATTTTGCCTCCTCCACATCCATAAATAACCCAAGTCAAACATGAAAAAAAAAAAAAAACAGTGAGGGCTGGGGATGTGGCTCAAGCGGTAGCGCGCTCGCCTGGCATGCGTGCAGCCCAGGTTCGATCCTCAGCACCACATACAAACGAAGATGTTGTGTCCGCCGAGAACTAAGAAAAAATAAATAAATGTTAAAATTCTGTCTCTCTCTCTCTCTCTCTCTCTCTCTCTCTCTGTGTCCCCCTCTCTCTCACTCTCTCTTTAAAAAAAAAAAAAAACAGTGAAATTCTAATAGAGAGTATCCTACAAAATACACGCTCAATCAAGATAATTGATGGCCTGGGTTTGGGCCCCAGCACTGGGAAAAATGAAATAAAATCATCAAGGTTGTCAAAAACAAAAAAAAAAAAATGGTTCCATTCCCAGTACTAAAAAAAATAAAAATAAAAAACAAGGAAAATGTGTCAGGCACAGTGGTGCACACCTGAAATTCTGGTTAATTACTGGGGAGGCTGATGGAGAAGGATCACAAGTTCAAGGCCACCCTGGGCTAATTAAGCCCTGTCTCAATTTAAAAATAAAAAGTAAAAGTTCTTGGGATGTAGCTCAATGGTAGAGCCTAGTATGTGTGAGGCTCTGGGTTCCATCCCCAGTACTAAAAAACAAAACAAACAAACAAAAAAAAAACAAGGAAAATCTGAAAAACTGCCACAATTCAAGAGAAGCTTAAGCAAATATGACATCTAAATATAAAGTGGTATCCTGGATGGGATTCTGAACCAGAAAAGAGATATTGGGGGGTAAAAACTAAAGAAATCTGAAGATAGTATCAATTTAATTAATATTAACTTATCTATATTAGTTTATTAATTTTGACATAAGTAACACACTAATGTACAATATCATAAGAGAAACTGTATGTGAGGTATATGGGAACTCTCTGTACTATTTTCCAATTTTTTCTGTTAATCTAAAACCATTTAAAAAAAAAAAATCTATGCCTGGAAGTGTAGGACATAGTTCAGTAGTAGAGCACTTGCCTACTGTGTCTGAGACCCTAAATTTAATCCCTAGCACAAGCAAGCAAAGGGGGAGGGAGAGAGGAGGAAGGAGGGAAGGAAGGAAGAACACGTAGTCTTTAATTAAATCAATTGAATCATTCCTTTTGGTCTGGGTCTGAATTTGGTCAAGAGTTACAACTCATAGTTAACTTGCATTGAGTCCGTCCTTCCTTCCTTCCTTCCTTCCTTCCTTCCTTCCTTCCTTCCTTCCTTTCTTTCTTTTTAAATTTTAAGTTCTGGGAATTGAGCCCAGGGACACTCTACCACTGAGTCCTTTTTATTGTTTATTTTGAGGTGGGGGTCTCCCTAAGTTTTCAAGGCCAACCTTGAATTTGGCATCCTCTTGTCTCAGCCTCTGGAGTCTTGGTAATTGCAGGCTACTGCACCCACAATGCTATTAAAATAGATTTACTTATTTCACAAATGTAGAAATGAGGCAGGAGAGAGTTCATTCATGCAAATGTTTAACGATAAATACTTACTAGTAAGTTGGAGACTGCCCTGGAAAGACTTTACCCATGGTTCTGGGGCTTCCCCAGTAAGTGCCCTACAGGTGTCATGGGCAACTGTCCAGGATGAGCTCAGTCATGTAACCTCCACCCAAGTCTACACAGTTCCTCTCCTACCACAGACAATGGTGTCAATGCCACCATTTGCCAGGTCTCTCTAAAGAGCTGCCCTGCACTTTTTTTTTTTTAGTATTTTTTTAGTTGTAGATGGACATGAGACATTTATTTATTTGTTTATTTAATTATTATTATTATTATTATTATTATTATTATTTTATGTGATGCCGATAATCCAACCCAGTGCCAACCCATGTTCTAGGCAAGTGCTCTGCCACTGAGCCACAACTCCAGCCCTTGCACTTTTCTTTTACCCTCCACCTCTAACTTGCCACTAAGTCCAGGAACATTTTCTTATAAATGTCTTCCCTGTCTTTCTAGTCTACTCTTTCCCCTGTTTGGAACCTCACAGTTTCTCTGTCTCTACCTTAGATCGGATCCCTCCTGGGGTGAGCTCCACCCAAGCCACCACCCATCTTTCTATAACCCACATCAGATGATTTCATTCCCTTCTGATGGCCCATTCCACAGCTACCACAACCTAGTCATGGCCCATCCCATTTCAGTCCCCTGCTCCCTAGCACTCCAGCTTTTAACTCACAAACATTACCCCCACATTGTTTGCAGGACTTGCTTTTAGTTTTTAAAGCCTACATAATGCCTTTCCTTCTTTGTCTTTGGAGATTGTATGTGTACTTCAAATCGTAGCTCAAATTCAACTGCTTTCATACTCAAATTCTTGTTGGCCAAACAATCAATCAGCCCTTACCTGTCTTATGGCACCCACCAAACCGACTCTGAGGACTAAAGACCAGTAGACCCACATCTCCAGCTGAGAGTTCCCTAAGGTACCTGTGTAGTCCCATGTTCAAAGATGTCTAAATTACTTCTTACTATCAATTTGTTACGTATCAAAGCAAAATGCCCATACTTCATAATTGGGTGCCCCCAAGTGGCCAGGATAAGAAAAGTCATAGCAGTTCTGAGGGGTACAGGGAGGCTTCACAGAGAAGGTGGATTTGAGAAGTACTGAGGTTAAAGCCACATTTAGAGTTTATTGAGCTTGTGTTGCATGTTAGATATTACACTATAGCAATGAGCTTTCACCTAGATCACCTCGTTTACTCCTCAAACAGACGTACTGGGTATGTATTCTATGTTTTTGTAGAGAAGGCAACTGAGGTTAAGAGCATCTGCTATGTAGTAGCATAGCTACTTAGTGGCTGAACAGGGATAAGAAGGCTGATCTCTGGTTCCTACTCCATAGTACAGCCAAAGGATTGAAGGATGAGCATGTAGAGGTGGATTTCTATAACCAGCCCACCAAGCAGAATGTAGAATCTACAGCAAGCAAGGTTCACCTAGGCCCCACCCCATACAAACCAGAGAGTTGTGGACACAGGACACTGATGAAGTGGCTGGAAGTACTCTGTGTCCCTGAGACAACCCTCATAGGTATGCTGGCCTTCAACTGCTAATGTACTTCATGCAACATGGACATTCCCATGCTCTGTCCAAACCTGAAGGCAGAAGGCAGGTGATATGGGGTGGAGCTTTATGCATGGGGCAGGGTAGCCCCCTGCCTAGATCACTTTTCCCAAGGTGGAAACCTCTTGCCTACCATCCAGCTTTGAAACCTCCCTCCTCCAATCTGGGGCCTCCTTCTGGAAAGTGGTGTCACAACTGCAGGTTTGGGCAGGAAAAGTAGGACCCTGGTATAGTGGGAAGCATCCTAGACAGTTTGTCCTTTTAATCCCTCCAGAGCCAGTACATTGCCAGGCTCTGATAGCCCTCAGTAGGAGTTGCAGGGGTGTCACAGTTCTGGCTGGAAAGTTCAGCAAGAATGTAAGGTATAGGGGCTGGGGATGTGGCTCAAGTGGTAGCACACTCATCTGGCATGCGTGCGGCCCGGGTTCAATCCTCAGCACCACATACAAACAAAGATGTTGTGTCTGCCAAGAACTGAAAAATAAATATTAAAAAATTCTCTCTCTCTCTTTAAAAAAAATGGAAGGTATAGTGCAAACCTGCATGCCTTTGAGAGTGAAAGGGCACTTTTCATTTTTAGGATGGGGTTACCTGCAAAAGTGAGGGCAGCTGTGACCCTGGCTGAAAGCCTTTCACTTTAGCAAGGGGGCCCCAGAAGGAGACAGATTTCATCTGGGTCACCTAGGCAGATGGAAAACAGAAACCCAAATGTAGTGGCACTTGAGCCCTCAAACTTTTTTTTTTTTTTTTTTTTTTTTTTGGTACCAGGGATTGAACCCAGGGGTGCTTAACCACTGAACCACATCCCCAGTCCTTTTTAATATTTTATTTAGAAACAGGGTCTTGCTAAATTGCTTAGGGCCTCACTAAGTTGCTGAGGCTGGCTTTTAACTCCCCATCCTCTGCCTCAGTCTACCCAGCATCTTGGATTGCACATGTGCACCGACACACCTGGTCCAACCCCTCAAATTTCTGGGCCTTAGGATTACTTCTCTGACTTTGGCTAGTGGCTCTCACCTTTTCCACCACCTCCATTTGTCCTTCATTCCTGCTAGGCTTTTTGGGTATATGTTCCTTGCTCCTCCGTGTTCCCACAGTCCGGTGGCCACGTCGATGGCCGCGCACCATGAGGCCAGAGACCTTGGTTGGTTTTGTTCTCTCTGCCATGTCCCCAGAACCTGGCACAGAGGGATGCTCATTTGTGGATCCAGTGACCTTATGCATAAGTGATCTCAATCACTTCTAATATTAATGATCTATTTATTGGTCCACCGCAGCTACCAAGACAGGTCTTGCTAAGTTGCTACTTAAACTTGCCAAGACTAGACTGGCCTCAAACTTGCTACCCTATCACCCCCCCACCCCCGTCTCAGTCTCCCAACTACCTGGGATCACCGCCACTTCGCCTGGCTTTGCCTGTGTCGTGTGAAGGTAGACAAAAATAATATTAGATTAAGGAACAGGAGGTCCTAGGGAGGGTATCTAGGCAGCGGGCTGTTGGAGAGGCTGAGCAGACCATCTGAGAAGGGGAAGCCTGGCCTTGAGAGCTGCGAAACCGCTACACTGAGGCTGGACTGCGCGGGGAGCGTCAGGAAAGAGGCTGAGAAAGCCGGGACTTCCCCCTGGTGTCGAGACCCGGAACTACAGCAGGGCCTGGGGGGGGGGGCTTGGTAGGCAGGGCACGCCCACCAGCCGGCGGCGCTCGGGCCACTAGGGGCGCACCCGCCTTGGCCCCACCCCGCCCTCGCAGCCCCTGCGGCGCCTGCGGGTGGAGGCCCGGCGGCTGACTGCTCCCGCAAACGCGGGGCTCTGAGAACCCGGAAGTTACGCCATAGGCGTGCGCCAGGGGAGCGGGAGTCAGCTGAGCTGCCGGGCGAGGTTGGGGGGATCGGCTAAGAGGAGTTTGGGTTCACTTGGGGGCCGAGTGGGGTGCAAGATTGCTCCAGATTCAAGGGGAAGGACTCTCCCACCTTCTTTCTCTATAAAGCGAGAGCGAGAACGTCCAAGGAGGCCGCGGTGGCTGGTTCCCAGGATCTGTCAGAGGCTGGGGAGTCGCAGCTTCCAGTCCGGGGCGACGGGGATCCCTGGGGGCAGCCCAGTCGTGATCTCCGCGCCCCGGACGAAGGACCCAGAGGTCGAACACCATGGCGTCCATCCTGGATGAGTATGAGGACTCGCTGTCGCGCTCCGCTGTCTTGCAACCCGGCTGCCCTAATGTGGCAATCCCCCACTCGGGTAAGAAAGAAAGGGGCGCCGATGCCCCCTTTTGGCACCTTTGGGGCATGAGCGGGAAGGGCGGCTCCAAAAACTCGGAATCACCTCCGGAACTTGAATTTTGCGACTCCTTATTTTCCTCCAGCTCTCTTGGCTCCCAGCTGGCGAATGGTGGAAGTTTGAAAGAGCCATAAGAGCAGCCGCATGATCTAGGGCCTGCCACTAGGGTCCTTTCTAAAGAGGGAAGTGGGTCAGTTAAGGAAATACTTGCCTACAGGGCCGCAGTTGAGCTGTTGGGAGAATCGAAAATAGAATACAGTTTTTTCCTGATACCTGATTTTTCTGCTTTCCCACCATACCCGAGTGAGAATAGGATAATGAAATTTGTGGAAAAGGAATGTTGTAGAAGGAGGGATGGTCCTAAAGAGAATTTGTCACTGATCTGGGAGAAATGGAGATGAGATATTCTTGGCCTTAGCTAGAGCTGTGTTCGGGGAAATTTTTGTAGAAAGTAGTGCAGAGTTGGCAGAGAGCTGGTCACATTTTGAGCAATTGTCTAGTGAGAAAGCTGCTGCAGTTTTGTTAACACCAATGATTGGAGCGGTTCCCCAGGGCTCCCTCTGCCTTCAGGCTTCTGAAAACTCACTGTTTTTTCACTACTGCATGTTCAGGGAGGAGATAGATAATGAAGTTGGGATTAAGCTAAACAGGGGTTGTGGGACCAAAGACTGATAAAAGAGAATGCTCAAATCAACTCCCTGTAAGACTCACACCCTCCTCTCCTCCCATTACCACTGGAACTAGGTACATCCTGCTGTAATAGCATCTCAGGTGATCAAGAATCAACCATTCCCTACTGTCAGAAGTGTGAGAAGAGGCCAAGACCCTTACAACAAACGACTTGATCTCAAACTATTTGTTAAACAAAGTGTGGATGGGGAGGAACTACTGGGAGAATTTCATGTAGCACTGTTGTTTCTTGGGGTTTTTTGTTTGGTTTTGTTGCCTGTCTCTTCCATAACTAGTGTTTTCTTTTTTTTTTTTTTTATAAAGTCTAAATAGAGATTTTTTTAAAGTATTTTATTTACATTTTAGTTTTTGGCAGACACAACATCTTTGTTTGTATGTGGTGCTTAACATCGAACCCGGGCCGCACGCATGCCAGGCGAGCGCACTACCACTTGAGCCACATCCCCAGCCCCATAACTAGTGTTTTCTAAACTTCTTGCCTGTAGGGTATGTGAATGCCCAGCTGGAGAAGGAAGTGCCCATCTTCACAAAGCAGCGCATTGACTTTACTCCTTCTGAGCGTATCACCAGTCTTGTGGTCTCCTGCAATCAGCTCTGCATGAGCCTGGGCAAGGATTCACTGCTCCGGTAATTTAGATCCCAAAAGCTTTTGCAATAGGGAATGGAAGGGTATTAGTTGGGGCCTTTCTTTCATTCGGGGCAAGGGAAGCAGTGGATTTGGAATTTTAAGGATGTGTTCTATTTGTTCCTGAACCAACATAGTGTAGTAGTAGTAGCTAAGAATCAGACAGACATATTCAGATTCCAGCGGTACCACTTAGGAGCTATGGAATTTTTTTTTTTTTTTTCAGTAGTAGGGATTGAGCAGAGGGGCACTTTATCATTAAGTTACATCCCTACCCACCTCCTTTTTACTTTTTATTTTGAGATAGGGTCTTGCTAAATTGCCTAGGCTGACTTTAAACTTGCAGTCTTTCTTCTTCAGCCTCCCGAGTAGCTGGGATTACAGTTATGCCCCACTATGCCTAATCCCAGCTATGAGATCGTTTTTTGGAGGGCAGGTACCAGGGATTAAACTCAGGGGCACTTGACCACTGAGCCACATCCCCAGCCCTATTTTGTATTTTATTTAAAGACAAGGTCTCACTGAGTTGCTTATCACCTCGCCATTGCTGGGGTTGGCTTTGAATTCATGATCCTCCTGTCTCAGCCTCCCAAGCTATTGGGATTATAGGCGTGTGCCACTGTGCCCAATTCCAACTATGGAATCTTTAGCAAGTCACCTAATCTCTGTAAACATGGTCCTTCATCTGTTAAATATAGCTCTAGCTTACAAGTTGGTCACAGTGGTCATTGGAACAATCTATAGAGTCCTGAAGTATATCCACTAGAAATAGAAATAATATATGACAAAAGTGTCATCAAAATTGTTTTATCTATCTAGAAAACCATCTTGGGTAAACAGAGCCTCTGTCTCACAAAATGAATTCTAGCCAGGTGCTGTGCGCCTATAATCCCAGTGGCCCTGGAGGCTGAGGCAGAAGGATTTCAAGTTCAAAGCAGTCTTAGCAAAAAAGTGCGGTGCTAGGCAATTCAGTGAGACCCTGTCTCTAAATAAAATACAAAATAGGGCTGGGGATGTGGCTCAGTGGTCAAGTGCCCCTGAGTTCAATCCTTTGTACCCCAAAACCAAAACAAAGCCAAAAAAAACAGCTGCACCTGTTGTTAACTAATGGAATGTTCATGAAATATCACAAATTGACAAAAGCACATTACAAATTAATACACATGTGAAGGCTTTTTTGGTAATAACATCAACAAAAACCTGTTTATGTTATAAACATGAAAAAAGATGTTAGCATCAATTTTCTAGGTTGGGAATGATGTTTGAAAAGCAAATCATTACCTTTTTCTTTATGCATATTTATATTAACTCTTTAGTGAGAATAAGCATATAACTTGGAAAGGATTTAATTAGAAAAATGTAATTTAAATGGATACATTCAAAGTTATTTTGAAGATTGAGATAATACTAGATTAAATTCTTGGTATGGTGCTTGATATATAGAAAGTGCTCAGTAACCACCAGCAACTCTGTTGTTCTCATCTTACCCCAGCAGTCTGAGATAAGCCTCCCATATGCACTGGAGATCTTTTTTCCTATAAAAGTATAGATGGACACAATACCTTTATTTTATTTATTTATTTATTTATTTTTTATGTAGTGCTGAGGATTGAACCCAGTGCCTCACAGGTGCTAGGCATGCACTCTACCACTGAGTCACAACCACAGCCCCACACTGGAGATCTTTTGAGCATAGGGGAAAGACTTCTCAGAATGAAGTGGGAGATTTCTCAGAATTGAGGGTTCTTAATAGGATCTATGTTTCAGGGTTCTTTTGGGATTTTATTCAGAATTTTGGTGTATATGTAGATTTCAGGGAAGAATGACTATGACTTTTACCAGAGAATTTCACAATCCAAAAGAGGATCTTCCCTTCTTTAGAGTGATACTGTGGCTCTTATCCCCACAGCATTGACCTTGGCAAAGCAAGTGAACCCAACCATGTAGAGTTGGGGCGTAAGGATGATGCTAAAGTTCACAAGATGTTCCTGGACCATACTGGTAAGTGGTGGTGAAGATCTGACAGGGACTTCTGGGTCAGTCACTGCCTGGGAGGGTGGGATCTGAGGAGGGAAGGGGCCGGGAGGGGGCTAAGGGTGGAAATGGCAGCATCCTCTAGGATGCCATATTCTGTCCTCTCTAGGCTCTCATCTGCTGATTGCTCTGAGCAGCACTGAGGTCCTCTATGTGAACCGTAATGGACAGAAAGTACGGCCACTAGCACGCTGGAAAGGACAGCTGGTGGAGAGTGTAGGTTGGAACAAGGCACTGGGCACTGAGAGTAGCACGGGACCCATCCTGGTTGGCACTGCTCAAGGCCAGATCTTCGAAGCAGAGCTTTCAGCCAGTGAGGGTGGACTTTTTGGCCCTGCCCCAGATCTCTACTTCCGTCCATTGTACGTGCTAAATGAAGAAGGAGGCCCAGCACCTGTGTGTTCCCTCGAGGCTGAACGGGGCCCTGATGGGCGGGGCTTTGTTATTGCTACCACTCGGCAGCGCCTCTTCCAGTTCATAGGCCGAGCAGCAGAGGGGGCTGAGGCCCAGGGCTTCTCAGGGCTTTTTGCTGCCTACACAGATCACCCACCACCATTCCGTGAGTTTCCCAGCAACCTGGGTTACAGTGAGTTGGCCTTCTATACCCCCAAGCTGCGCTCTGCACCCCGGGCTTTTGCCTGGATGATGGGGGATGGCGTGTTGTATGGCTCATTGGACTGTGGCCGGCCTGACTCCCTTCTAAGTGAGGAGCGAGTCTGGGAATACCCAGAGGGAGTAGGTCCCGGGGCCAGCCCACCCTTAGCCATCGTCCTGACACAGTTCCACTTCCTATTGCTGCTGGCCGACCGGGTGGAGGCAGTGTGCACACTGACTGGGCAGGTGGTGCTGCGGGATCATTTCCTGGAGAAGTTTGGGCCGCTCAAACACATGGTGAAAGACTCCTCCACAGGCCAGCTCTGGGCCTACACTGAGCGCGCTGTCTTCCGCTACCATGTGCAGCGTGAAGCCCGGGATGTCTGGCGCACCTACCTGGACATGAACCGCTTTGACCTGGCCAAGGAATATTGTCGAGAGCGGCCTGACTGCCTGGACACAGTCCTGGCCCGGGAGGCTGACTTCTGCTTTCGCCAGCATCGCTACCTGGAGAGTGCCCGCTGCTACGCCCTGACCCAGAGCTACTTTGAGGAGATTGCCCTTAAGTTCTTGGAGGCCCGACAGGAGGAGGCTCTGGCTGAGTTCCTGCAGCGAAAACTGGCCAGTTTGAAGCCATCCGAGCGAACCCAGGCCACACTGCTGACCACCTGGCTGACAGAGCTCTACCTGAGCCGGCTTGGGGCCCTGCAGGGTGACCCCGAGGCTCTGAATCTCTACCGGGAAACACGGGAGCGTTTCCGTGCCTTCCTCATCAGCCCTCGCCACAAGGAATGGCTATTTGCCAGCCGGGCCTCTATTCATGAGCTGCTTGCCAGTCATGGGGACACGGAACACATGGTATACTTTGCAGTGATCATGCAGGACTATGAGCGGGTGGTGGCATACCACTGCCAGCACGAGGCCTATGAGGAGGCCTTGGCTGTGCTTTCTCGCCACCGTGACCCCCAGCTTTTCTACAAGTTCTCACCCATTCTCATTCGTCACATCCCTCGCCAGCTGGTAGACGCCTGGATTGAGCTGGGCAACCGGCTGGATGCCCGGCAGCTCATCCCTGCCCTGGTGAACTATAGCCAGGGTGGAGAGACCCAGCAGGTGAGCCAGGCCATCCGCTACATGGAATTCTGTGTGAATGTGCTTGGGGAGACTGAGCAGGCCATTCACAACTACCTGCTGTCACTGTATGCCCGCGGCCAGCCAGCCTCGCTGCTGGCCTACCTGGAGCAGGCTGGGGCCAGCCCACATCGTGTACATTATGATCTCAAGTATGCGCTGCGGCTCTGTGCTGAGCATGGCCATCACCGTGCTTGTGTCCATGTCTACAAAGTGCTGGAACTATATGAGGAAGCTGTGGATCTAGCCTTGCAGGTAAGTTTTGTCCCCAGTCAGGAGAGGAACCTGGAGAGCAGTAGGTTCAGAGACTGAAGGGTTGGCAGGGGAGAAGGCTAGAGGATGCTGGCTTCTCAAGAAAAAGATTACAGATCAGGGCTGAGAGTATAGTTTAGTCAGTAGAGTGCTTATTTAAAAAAAAAAAAAAAAGAAAAAAGAAAAGAAACAAACAAAGGTATTGTGTTCATCTACAACTAAAAAATATTAAAAAAAAAAAAAAAAAGAAAGTGCTCAGAACAATGCCTGGCACATACATATGAGTAGAAGGAGAAGCTGCTGAGTTACCTTTCTCAAATTATGAATTGCACTTGCCTTAGGATCAAATGAAATGCTATTTAATATGTAAATTCCTGGGCCTGAACCCAGAATTTACTGAATCAGAATGTCTGAGGATAGGACTCAAAAATCAATATTTTAAACATGTTCCCCAAGTAATTTTTAAATTCTCTGAAATTGGAGCCCTACCAACATAAGTAGCTTCTTTTTCATAGCTGTGACAGGAACAGGCCCATTACTGGCTCTGGTTCTCCCTGGGCATCTGTCTATCTTGTAGTCTCTTTCCTGGGTGAGGAGGGGGCTTGACCCTAACACCCCCAGTTTCCCCACAGGTAGACGTGGACCTGGCCAAGCAGTGTGCAGACTTGCCTGAGGAGGATGAGGAACTACGAAAGAAGCTGTGGCTGAAGATTGCTCGGCATGTGGTGCAGGAGGAGGAAGATGTGCAGACAGCTATGGCCTGCCTGGCCAGCTGCCCCCTGCTCAAGATCGAGGATGTGCTACCCTTCTTTCCTGATTTTGTCACCATTGACCACTTCAAGGAGGCGATCTGTAGCTCACTTAAGGCCTATAACCATCATATCCAGGAGCTGCAGCGAGAGATGGAAGAGGCCACAGCCAGCGCCCAGCGCATTCGGAGAGACCTGCAGGAGCTACGGGGCCGCTATGGCACTGTGGAGCCCCAGGACAAATGCGCCACTTGTGATTTCCCTCTGCTTAACCGCCCTTTTTACCTTTTTCTCTGTGGCCACATGTTCCATGCTGACTGCCTACTGCAGGCCGTGCGGCCTGGCCTGCCTGCCTATAAGCAGGCCCGGCTTGAGGAGCTGCAGCGGAAGCTGGGGGCTGCACCCCCACCAGCCAAGGGCTCTGCCCGAGCCAAGGAGGCTGAGGGTGGGGCTGCAGCAGGAGGGCCCAGCCGAGAGCAGCTCAAAGCTGATCTAGATGAACTGGTGGCTGCTGAGTGTGTATACTGTGGGGAGCTGATGATCCGCTCTATTGACCGGCCCTTCATTGACCCCCAGCGCTATGAGGAGGAGCATCTGAGCTGGCTGTAGAAGGGTGTCCTGTGAAGAACGGGCAGGCATGGGGAGCTGCTACTTGGCCCTCTTGGGATGGCCACACCCTGTCTGTGCTCAGTCATCTGTGGTTATGTTGGGGAGTGGGAATAGAACTGTCATCCTGAAGTGTCAGGGGTGAGGGCATTCTGCCAGCTGCCTGCTGTGCTTCAGACCCACCTTAGAACTGCTGTTACTCAGGCCACCAGCCTGGAGAGGTCAGAAACTGGATTCACTCCCACTCCTGTATCTAACAGTTCCTTTGTCCTTGTCATTCCCCACCCTGTTTTTCTTCTGGATTGCGAATACCCTTCTTTCTTTGCTTTATGGCCTCTGGACTCCCAACCTTTCTCTGTCAGAGAAAGCCTCCTCTTCTCTCTGCCCCAGGTGTACCAGAAGTGAAAAGATAGCCCTCCCACTTCCTGAGCTCTGGTGGGGAAGGTGATACTAATGGTGGCCCTGGTGCACACTCTGGACCTCCACTATGAGGGGCGCCTTGGGGCTGGGGACCTCATAGAAGACATTGGGAGAGCATTAAAATGTCTGCACTGCATTGGTGGCGCTGGAGTTGATGGCTTTGTTGATGCTAAGCTTAATGATGTAGGAGGGGCTGGGATGCCACAAGGAGTCTGCCAGGGCCCTGCAGACCTTCAAGCCATGGCACATGGTCCTTCACCTGGAGATGAAGACAGGAAGATCTTGTCAGATTCTGCTTTCTTCCTTGTCTCCCTCCTCTATCTTTTGACTCAGTTGAGGATTATATTATAGCCCATCATTTTAAATCACAGAGTTCCCTCTGGCCAACAGGTGGTGCTGCTGCCCACAGAATCCATCCAACTCAATCAACTTGGAGCACTGGTTTCTCAAGTCATTGGTACTTCCTCGTCTATTCCCTACCTGGTGGCCCCAAGAATTTTCTGGAAATCTCCACTGGTTAATCAGTTAACCCTAAACCCCTTGTTCTTCCCTCCACTGTCCTATACATGCTAGATTTTACTTGCCCTCTCCCAACTTGGATACCTGCATTCACTGCTTCTGCCTTGGCTTTGCTATTGCCATTATTCATGGCATTTGGCTTTTCTCCTCACCTTGCTCCTGTGACATGCCCCTTCTCCCAGATTATACTTTCTTATTTGGAGCTGGAGGCCACATCCTGGGGAGTCCTAGAGCAGGGCCTTCCAGTGACAGCAGTTCAGCACCTTTTGCTCAGTGGACAGTCCCACCCTCAGCCTCCTGCTAGGCTCTGGGTATGATCTATCCACTGGCCCATATTGGTAGAAAATAATGTGTTCCTGTAATCATGCTGGGATCAAGCTCACCTAGCTGCAAATGTTCCTGTCTCTTCTCCAGCCTAATCCTCTCCTAGGAGTTTTATCTCCCACAATCCTGGTTGAATCACCCTCCTGAGTTCCCTAACCTCTAGAATAGAATCTCTTTATAGTCTCTGCCAACTGAGAGGGGTGGAAGCTGCCCATTTAATGACTCCCAGGCTCCCCGACTTTCCCCAGAAGCAAGAGTAGGAGCAGATAGAGGAGAGGGGTCCCATTGTGGGGGACCCTAAACTGTTCCAAGAAAATTTGAGGGGCTCCTCTCCTCCCTATGTAGCCTAAGGCTCCCTCATACCTACATGTAACTAAAGGAGGGCTCAGGGGATTCCCTTTTCCCTACTGTCAGTGAATACTGAGTATAAAACCTTGGTCTGCCACTGGTGTGGTCAGTTGCTTATTTAGCTAAAACAGCTTGGGATTTCTGTCCTTGTACATAATGGGTGCCTAATACATGTTAGTTAAACAAATACTGCCCTATTGCTCCCCACTCCCAGAGGGCTTGGCTAAAGCAGCCTGGGATGCTCCTGCCCCTTCTGTCTTCTTCTAAGTGAGCCCATCTGGTCCTAGGCTTTTTCCTCTTTCCTGGGAAAAGGCCCCAGGCTTCTCTGGCACTAACAGAAGGGGTTCCGGTGAGTCAGGGCAACGGGAAGCCACAGCTTTTAGATCCCTGGAAATCAAGCAAGGCTTGGAATGGAGCGCAGAGAAGGTCCTCAGAGCTTTGGCCCTAAGCCTGGGGGAGGGCCAAAAGTGTATGTGGGGGGGGGTTTAGCAGCTGTGTGGGCAGGGGCCAAGATGAATGAGCTGCTCCTGGAGCCGTCACTGGAAATAGGAGGAGTGGCCACAGGCAGTGACGCTGGGACTAGGGCAGGAGGCCTGTAAACAAGGAAGCCACCTGGGGGAGATACAGGGCGGCCACTGGTCCTGAAGAGCAGGTGCTTCCTGAGGCCCGCCCTTGAGAGGGCCCTAGGGGCCGCTGGGATCAGTCGCCCTCCGGCACTAGGAGGCGCTGTCTACTGGCATTCCCGCACCCATCGCTCCCTACCGCAGCTTCTGGGGGAGTGGTCACCGGAGGGTGTGCCTGCTGGGAGTCCCTGGCCCCGCCGACCCGCCCTCCCTCCTCCTGTTCCCAAGGCGGACTAGCCAAGGGCACCAGCCCTGACAGGCGCGGGGTTCAGCCTGGCCAGCCTAGAAATGAGCTCATTCCTCCCGAGACCACCGATTCTTGGGTTCCTGCTCCTCCTCCTAAGGCCCGGGTCGCTTGCCGAGGGCCTGGCATCAACCTTATTGGTTGGGAGGGGGCTCTGAGGCCACCAGTCTGCAGGCTGCCCTTGACGCTGCCCCCCTGGCGCCAGGGAAACAAAAGGTTAGGGGCCCAGAAGGAGTTATCTGGCCCCCCCCCCGGGTGGGGGTAGGGGGCCTGAAGGGGCACACCTCCTCGCCACTCCCGCAGCTCTGATTCTTCGAGACACTTTCACAGGCGGAAATTCCCAGAGGTCAGAGGAGGGAAACGGTTAATTCCTTTTATTCAATGGGTCCCCCCTACACGCCTCCCCCAACTTCCTCCCTCCACTTCCCGCCCCCCCCTGTGTGAACAGGAAGTGGAGAGGAAAAGGCTCTGAGCAGAGCAGCTGGGATCAGGAGGCAGGGAGTGGGCTGCAGGCTTGGTGCCAGCCCTGCCCCTCATGGTTGCTTGCTGGAGAGCCAGACTGACTTTGGCCTGGGAGAGAACCTGCAGTCCCCTATGCAGTGACAAGTGGCAGCTGAACTGGGAAACAGCCCAGTGTGCAAGCCCCCATTCCCCAACCTGCTTCCAAGCCAGAGGCTGCTGTCCTGAGGGTGCAAGGCATCTTTTGCCCAAGCCCCAGCTGCTCTGACCACCACAGCCCTGCCCCCACCGCCAGGCTGGGCATCCTGAGGCTGGCAGGCAGCTCTTCAGGCAGCCGCCAATCCTGGCACTGGCTCCACCACTCAGCCCCTTGGCCCTGCCAGTCCTTTGAAGCTCATGCAGCGCTTCCTGTTTGGGGCAGGCGATGCCAGGGCCCCTCCCCCACCATTGTTCTGTAGAGACCATAGGTCCATCTGTTGCCCCATGGTGGGGCCCCTAGGCAGTGCCACACGGGAGCAGCACCACAAAGGACCCTGCTGGCAGCTTTACTTATGTGGAGCAAGGCTGGGCCCTGCAGCAGGTTGAGGGTGAATGGTGGTCAGAGGCAGGCCTGGGGTAGGGGGAGGGGGGGAGTGGAATAGAAGGAAGATGGATAGTTCTAATGCTTGGGCATCTGGAGCCCTTAGTTTCTCCTCTACCTGGATCATGGAGATGATGATATTCAGGGAGCTATGCATGCTCAAGCCACCAAGAGAGGGATACCTTTCTCATGTCCATATTCTAAAGGGGGAAACTGAGGCAAAGGAATGAACTTTGGTCTGGGATGAACAGTAAGAGGGACACTACATAGAGTTTCCCCTTCAAGGAGATTGGCCACCTCTGAATGCCCAAGGGTGGGTGCTGGCCTCTTCCTGAACAGCTTTTCTTTTGCACAGCTTTTGCCCTGTAGTAATCCTTGAGTTGAGCAGTAAGGAAACATACCATGAGGTCATGGGAGATTGAATAGCCCTAGGTTGACAATCAGCAACTTGAGTCCACTGAGAACGAATCAGAGCAGAAAAAGGGAAAGGGGCACTGGTCTAACTCTGAAAAGTGAGTGGTTCCCAGGCTGCTGTGGCCAAAGGTATGTTTGTTTCCTAGGTGCAGAGGCAGGTGCTATATATCTCTGCAGCTCATCAGCCCAATCTCAGGGCTCTAACCCACAACCTGCTTCTTCCCTGGCTTCACCATAGGGTTAGAAGCCAACACATGGTCTACCCGACTTCCCTCACCAGATCCTCTGGGTTCTCTTTCCAGCTCAGGATCTTTCTGAGCTGAGCTGCCACCAGAGCTGCAGAGACCTTGAATAGAGATCATAGAATTCTGTGGAACACTTGTTCAAATAAAAACTTTCATGAATGTCAGTACCTGAAATTTATATACTGAGCATCTCTGGTGGAAGCTAGGCTGCTAGAGGGTGCACACCCCTGTTCATTCAGCCTGTCCTTTTCCTTCCTCATTCCAATCTCTGTGGGATGCCAGAATACCCAGGAACTCAGTTTGGAAATCACTGATCTACTAATTTTACCTCCTGATTTTGCAGATGCTGAATCTAAGAGGAGATATTGGTGGCTAAAAGGCGGCTCCATCCAGGGTCCTGTCCTTTCTCCATGAGATTCAGCATCCGTTGGTAGTGATTCCATGCCCATGTTGTGAGCCAAATATTGTCCTTGACCCTCCAGGGTGCATATTTCCCATCTCCAGGCAGTCTGTTGAGCTAAGGGGGAGGGAGGTTGAGCAAGTGCAGATCTCTGCCCTGCCACTTACCAGAAGTCAGGCTAATAATGCCCCTCAATTTCTTCAACTGTAAAATGAGAATGAATACCACAGACCTTGAGCACGGGGCAGCATTCTGAAAAGTTATCCCAGCGCCTAGCACAGAGCAGTCCTGGATGCTTGCTTCTCTTGCCCTTTACTCTGTGCCTCATTCCTTTCGGTTTGGGACTTTGTGAGGCCCTTGGTAGCTCTTGCCTCACAAAGCTGTCTGATTTCTTCAGGAATTAAAAGTTGAGAAGAGCTTCTTGCCTAATGATGACTCTAGGGAAGAGAGGTTCAGGGTGAAAATGAGGAAGCTGGTAGGCATATAGAATGTGGCCACCTAGGTGGATTGTTCCTTTGGGGGTCAAGTCCTGGTTTCCTAGAGGAAGGAGGGGACTGATAGGATTGTGGGCAGAACTTATTCTGGCCACTGACCAGATCTGGCTCCTCTGCCAGTCTCCTCTTCACAGTCTATCCCAGAGCTTATATAACAGCCTAGCTGGCTGGCACTCCCCTGAGAGTCTCAGGAAGTCCCCTTGTCCCCCCCTTGACCCTTGACCCCTTCAGTCTGCTGCAAGAGGAATTCCAAGCAGATGTCTTCTCTTTTACCTTCTGTTCCTGGTCATTTCCCTAAAGGCTGGAACTCAGAGACACCCTTAACCCCCACCTTATTACTCATCCATTCCCATGCTTTCCAGTATAGATAGACCAGGAGGAGTCTCCACTGGGGAAGCTCCCCATATGTGCCAAGGGAGATCCTTGGCCTCATCCAGTAGGACACTTGGGATATGACTGTCTGAAGGGCTCAGGCTTCACCAGGAT